GGTCACCGGCGTCACGGGCCATTTTTTTTTCCCCCGCTCCGGTCGTTCTACGCCCTCTATAAATTTCAACCGGAGTATTTTCTCTTTTACGTGTACCTGTTATTGAACGAGAGAACTGCCAATAACGTCGGATAACTGCGTCACGTTTCGCCGCGAAACCCCGTTCACCCTCGCCCGCAACCTATCATCCTCCCGCGCCCCTTTGCCGCCGCGCGCCCTGTTCCGGCGTCCTGGCGCGTCCTTCCTTCCCTTGATATTTCTAATATCGTACGACATCGGGACACATAAATTACCACCACCGGCAGCTTTCGATACAGTGTTTCGTTCCAGCCGCAGCTTTCTGCCGCCTCCTTCCTGTGAACCTTTCTTTTAACACGCCAGCGTTTCCTGCAGGGGAGGTTCGTTATCACCGGCACGGAACCGACCGATCTAGCGCCGCGCGATTTATTTCGTATTAAACTGTAGGGGGACGCTTCGGGCAATGCCGTTAACCATCCGGGCACGAGAATCTCTTGAGCGTCTGGAAATTCCTCCCACGAGAAGCTGAATTATGCGTCGGTTCCCGAACACTGGAACTATTACATAGATCAAACGAGCCCATCTTGGATTTATATTTTTACTAGTCTTTTGAACATGTACGCGACACTCCAGGAAATTCTTTGTTTCATTCGCTAGTCAGTGCGCTAAATTGTCAGTCCGATAGACGAAGTAAAACGCTTAACACGTTCATTACCATAATCACATATTTGTAACGGCTATAATCCTATATATTACATAATGAAAATGAAATTAATCCTATAGACATTGTTAATAGAAATTATAAACTGAGATATTATATTTAAGAACTCAATGACTCGACTCAGTTTCATTTGTCTAATATTTTGTTTAGATTTATTTGATTGAAGAAAATATAATTGAGGAGACTGCCACCGAAGTAAGCGCTGGTAGTGAACGTGTTAACTCCTTGTCTACTTTAACGAGTTTCACTCGTGATCTAAATTTTGGACCAAACATAAGTATCACGAGTCGACTCGAGGTGACAATACGAGTAAGATCACGGTCGCTATAATTATAGGCCAAAATTTGTTCGGTTAAATGCTATGACAAGGGGTTAAGGATCCACGAGGGCTGAGCACGCGTAACGTTCGTCTAAATTCAATTTCGAAATTATATTTGGGGTGAAACTATAACTTGCTAAATATATCAATATTCTATTTCTACTTTACATTTCGTTTTACGCCTACATGTTTAATATTAGATTTACGGAACCCTTAAAATTGACGGATGCTGAATTTGTTAAACATTATTTAGTAGCAGTTTAAGTCGATCTTGATTCACGCAACTATGCGAATACACATTGGAATACTCGAATTTTGATGCTACGATTCTCGAAATCCATAAACACGTAGTTTTCTAGAACCAGTAGAACAAAGTAACTAGTGTTAATGATGCTGCGAGACGAGCAAGCGAAGCGAGAGATAGACAGAAACGAGAAATTAAAAGGAATTTAACCCATTGTCGCACACTTTTAACTTTAAAATCGTGTCCAGGAAAGCAGTTTTTTTAATTGTTTGTTTTGACTTGTTCAGGTCATGAAAAATCGTACGCAAAATCAGCTTTCATGTTATCTAGACTGTTACGTCATTTTTGTCCAATGTATTACTAAAGAATGAACAAGTGAATGCGTACTAATAATATTTCTGTTTTCATTAACACGTTCGCGTATACGACCCACACTTTTACAGTTAAGTAAATCTGTTTTCAACGTACGCCTTACAATTTTTCAATAGTACAAAATCATAATTAGCAAATTTTAAATTCTTCATTTTTCAATGCGAATTCCAAGCGACCTGAACGGAAACTTCAGCGTGGGTCATATACGACCCTTGGCTCACTATTTATTTTCGCCAATAAGCTCGTGGAATATTTTACTACCGACAATTTCGAAAAAATGCAACAAAATCGTTCATTCTACTGCAAGTGCAAAATTCCGTTTGAAGATAATACATTGATAATAGCAAAACAGTTTGCTTTGATCCGTGGGTGATGAACAATATTGATTAATGTTAAGTTAGTCTAGAAATCTTCATCGCGAGTCTCACTCGTCATTGTACGGCAAGGGGTTAATGAAAATATGCAGGATGGTTATAAATTGCTTACATATTGCCAAAAAAAATGGACGACTATAGCTGTTTGCAGTAATGGGTTAACCTATTAAGTCCCATGAAATTTTTTTTTTTTAATTCTTAGATGGAATTTTGTATTTCGAATAATGAGTGTCCATACTATCTTGGAGAAATAGTGAAAAAAATCTGACATATTCAATACACTACATGTAGCAGTGACATATTCATAGATCACCTAATGTAATTGTTCGTAACATTGTTTATGTTCAATGTTAGTGCATATAAATAGAGTTTTCATTATTCTGGAAACATTTATTTTGTAATTCCAAGTTGCAAAAATTTTAACTTTGTTATTTCAAATTTTGTATATAATTTCTCGCGGCAATGCAATCATTTATTCATTCTAAATACTAACTCGTATTTATCCTAATCATTAGATACATTATTTATTAACAAATAAATTGTCTATAACAATTTAGAGTGAGTGATCTATTAATAGATCACTGGGACTTAATGGGTTAAGGAACCAAGCGAGTAACGTTTTGTATCACTATTCGTTGATTTCGGTGAAGTAATCCAGAGGACTTTCCGCGCATTCCGGGAACAAACTGTCGCAGCCTCCGGTTTCCTGTCGTCCTAGGATTTCAGCGGCACGATACATCCGATCGAACTCGGTCTTGAAAGGCTCGGAGGTGGTCGACGGGCTGAAACGCGAACGAAATTACCGCGCGTCGTGTGAAATTTGAAATTCGTATTAGCAATGCAACGGGGATGTCGACGGAAACCGGGATTAGGTGCGGCGCGTTCTTCGTGTAGACTTTATACTATGGAGCAGTGGTTCTTAATCTATACATCGTGACCCGAAATTGGGTCGTCCGTTCGCTTTAATGGCTTATGAACAATTTTCGACAGAGTATACGTAAACGGTCGTTTACTATATTCAATAAGCGTGTCTTCGGCGAGGCATCGATAAAGATGAGAAATATATTTTCAACGATCGTTCGATACGATTCGAAGTAAACATTAAAACATTTCATTCTCCTTTGGAGTGCCAACGTAGCTGTGAGCGACGCTGAAAGTTTGTCCAAAAAGTGCCAGCGTCGCTCTCAGCAACTCATTTGATACCGATAAATGCAACAGAAAATATGAAAAATTCCATTGATGATTACGAGGATGATTTAACCATCCTGAGAGTGCCAACGTCTGGTACTTTTTCGACAAACACTGGGACAACAGCGACTTTTCATTTTCGATAGCGATAAATGCAACAGAAAATACGAAAAATTCCATTGATGATTACATTTATTGCAATAAAAAATAAAGAGTCTCTATGAGCGACGCTAATTATTTGTCGAGAAAGTGCCAGACGTTACACTCTGGGGGTGGTTAAATCATCCTTCGCGAAATCTAATTGTTTATCCCTTTGGGTCGTGAGCGAGAAAGGTTAAGAACCACTGCTGTAGAGGAACAGCGCCAGGATTTCCGTACTCACGCGAGGAGAAGACGGACGAGCTGCGAGCTGAGGCTGTGAACAGCGGTGAAAGGAACCGCGGACGCCTCGCAGATCGCTCTCAGCAGGCACGCCTTACCCGTCCGCGAATCTCCGAGCACCGATTCCAAGATTTCGTAAATTTCCCATCTGGAAATGACGCGGCGCTCCCCGCCTGCTGGCAAGAAAGTACAGCTAGAAAGAAACTGCCGCGAGAGCGAGTGGGGAACGCGGCTGGGCGAGCGGTTCGAAACGAGCGAGCATCAACTCGGATAAAAGCCAGACGGTTTCCGGCATTGTGCTCGGGAACGGCGTTATAAGGCACGCAACAAAAGTAACCTCGTTAATATGTAAAGGAAGAGGATCGTTCCGTCGTATTCAGACACCGGAGCCTCGTCCGTCGACCCGAGGCCGCGCGGTGCTCTCGCGGATTTCGAGGAATGGGATTGTTACGCTTTCATCCGTGGCGAGCGCGATTACCTTCTTTCAAGAGTAACGCGAAACACTCGTTTCCAACGGAACATTCGAACTTTCGCTCGACATCTTCTCCGAAAGTCCGTTTAGTCTGTCGTCCAATGGTTTCTCTCGTAACATCTTCGTTAATAATTTATCAAAAAATAAAGGAAAATTTCTAATTCATCTGTATCCTTTGTTACTTTGGAACATAGTAACTCATCCTGTGATATTCGCTTGAGTTCGAATGAAATGTTATTTTATTACCGCCTGGTAATAGGAAAGCAAATTTAAATATCGATGAAAAATAGTCTCTTTTTCTAGTAAATGACTGACGATCAAATGATTCTAAATCGGGCAGCTATGAAAGAAATTATAAAGCTTGAAACATTTAGTTCGGTGAACGATATTTCGAAATTTCTAATGATATTTATCGCGATGGCAAAGTGCTCTTAGAATAGCTGAGATATCGATGAAATTGAAGGGATCGAACGGGCGAAAGCTAAAGGAAAAGAAGTTAAGAGGAAAAAAGGAAAGATGCTGCGCGAAGAAGAAAGGTCGTGTACCTTTGCGATCCTGCGAGTGGTGGTTATCATCGTCGGCTTCGACACCGCTGCTGATCGATCTGTCATATCGAACGTACGAGTCCGTCAAGTAGGAGGCGTTATACGGTAGGACGTAATTAAATTTCATCACATATCCGATAATCAGGCTGACGTCGACTTCCATGGGTAAACCGAGTCCGAGGATTACCTGGAACCGTTTTCAAATGCACGAAGGTGTCATCGATCGTTTATAATGACCGCCAATCGAATCCCAATTGGCAGGCTCATTCGCGACTGACATTCAACCGAATGAAATTAGATCGGGAAACATAGGCACAGTGAAATTCGGGAACGGGTCGTGCACGCTCTCGCCAGGCCTCGCCAATTTTCGGATTTCAATGCGCGACAGACATTCCCGGTGTAATCGAGAGGGAGCGAGAGGAGCCCCGCTCGATCGCGTCCACCTGGAATCCCGCAATATGCTATCGGGCATCGGTGTCTCAATTTTGAATTGCCGCGACCGAATTGCTCGGGATACGAGTGCTCCGACGGCTTCCTAACGATCGATGTCGATTCTAAGAAGGAACATGCAAAAGTTGTTGGTCCTTAATCCATTATGTCCCATGAAATTTTTTGTTTTAATTTTTTAGATGAAACTTTGTGTTTCGAGTAATGAGTGTCCATACTATCTTGGAAAAATAGTGAAAAAAATCTGACATATTCAATATACTATATATAGCATGATCTATAGATAGATCACTGGGAACATACGGTAACAGCAATACAACATACTATAACAATTTAGAGTGAGTGATCTATTAATAGATCACTGGGACTTAATGGGTTAACATGTTGACTGCCACGGAAACCTTCAGAGTTTTATGTATCGCTTATTCTTTTGTAGTAAAGATAAGGATGAACATTTACTATTTGGTATCGCAATTTACGTTACACTATCTGGTAATTTACGCTATGACGAGAGAGCGGTACGGACTGCAAAGGATTAACACCTCCAGATTCGCGTCTAGATAATACAATTGAATAGGGGTTAGTTTTGTGTCAAACAATAAGTTAAAGATATAGAATAAAACTTTTTCATATGAGGTTTTGCCTTCGAGAAAATCAACTTCGAATATTCTCCGAGTACTGTCCATGTCTCGTTATTGGATCTCACTGTGGATCCCTCTCTCGACCGAAGTTTACCTTACTCAAGACTACCAACGAGAACAGGACATGGTGAACTGCACGTGTACTCGACGAATATTCGAAGCCCATTCTCTCGAAAACAAAGACTCACACGAACAAATTGGATTCTATATTTCCGACTCAGCTTTAAACGTCGAATCATCCCCATCCAGGTGTACCACCAGTTACACCCTGTAGAATTAAATTTAAACGGCAAAAAAGAAACAGGGGTCAGTCTTCGTAGAACAGAACTATCCTCTTTCCGACTCTCTAATGCTACCACGCCCGTAATACCTGCACTTTAGTCGCGGCAATGTTGCCTGGCGTCGGAAAAACCAGGTACCTTTTGTTCCTATTACTCGCGCGTTCGCTCGCAGCGTCGCGGAACGCGAGTACGACCGACAACAGAAGAAATCCGCGGCGCATGTTACCCGCGATCCAGCTGCAGCCACTCATCGGACTAGCCCGCGGTTCTCGTTGCGCGGAGATAGACACCGAACGACTCGTTAATAGCCGCAATTAGTTGGTTATCGCTAGTCGAGGGAATAATGAACCGGTCGGTTTCGATCGGCCGGTGGTGCCTATTAACACGAGCGAAGGTGGACGCGCGTCGGGCGAACAGGTTGCGTCGAAATTGCGCCGCGCCGACTGGCCGGCTCTCGGCGAGGATTAACGCGGCGATCAGTTTCTATTCATGAATTGGTAGGCCTGAGCGTATCCCGCGGACGCAAACTTTTCGAGCGCCGCTGCAATTAATGCGGTTCAACGTTGGGTCGAGACGAATCGAGTCGAGTCGAGTCGATTAACGGGCTGGAACCGTGCCGCTTTTTTTTCTCGCTCGGAGTTCTGGGGAGCGGAGATCGAAGTGGCGAGATAAAAGCGAACGAGAGTGCTCGATGCAGTCGAATGCAAGCTCGGGGACGTAAGCGGAATCTAGGAAATGTACGTAAGATCGGCGGAGCTTATCGTCGAAACGGCTTCCTCGGAATTAGACGAGTTTCGGAGGCCAGGTTCAATCTCCTCGAAACGCGAACGGCCGAAAAAACGAACGGGACGGCGAGCGCGAAGATCCGAGCCAATTTAATTCGAAGCTGGATATTAGATTTCATCGGCCATTCGCGGACATCCCGTACGCGGAACATCTCGTCGCAGACGCCGCGGCTCTTTTCGAATTGTATCGTCACGTTCGCGCGACATTTGCATTATTTTCGTATTACGCTCGGTCTCTCGCGCGCCGCGCCGTCCGCCCCGGTCATAAATCTTCTTAACAAGGGCCCGCAAACACACGGGAGAGGAATATATTCTCTGCCTAGCGCAGTACCCTGGGGATTGATTCGTACGGAGAAGGCGATATCGCGGAGAATTCACGCGAATGGCTGCTCCGCGAACCTGGCAAATGTAACGGGAACAAAATGAGGCCGCGCTAAGCGATCATCGCGAGACCCGCCGCGAGTCGACGTCTTTCTTAGACACTGTTTGCTGTTCGTTTGCCAAATCGGTCGCTTTCCAAATTTTCGAAAAATTTCGCCGTCGAAACGTGCGATTTCGACTGCTTCTGTTCATTTCGCAGTGTTATCACTCAATGATAAAGAAACTTACTTTTACGAACTTTCCTTTGGTCATGTGAAAGTTGCGATAATAATGAAATTTAGTCGGAAGATATTCTATTTCAAGTGATTCGTATGTTCGATAGATGAACGGTGAACCTTTAATACATAATGTTTACGTCTACGGTATTTATTTGTTTCTCTTGCGATATTTAACACGTTGGATACCATGGGATCACTGGTGACCACCAAGTAAATCGAATTACTATAGTTCACTCAATTAAACCATGACTATTTTAAAACATCTCTATATTATAAATAATGCTAGTTAGTGTGGTGACACTCAGCTAGATGAATCTGCAATAATAACAATGCAATTCAATCAAATGTTTTAATATTATATTGTAGGATGGGTATTGTGAGTAGGGACAGTTAATATTAATACTATAATATTATGATATAATAGTTAATTATATACAGTAAGGAGCATAACTGAACCAATAACCACAAGTTTTGTGTAAATCATTATTTACTGCTAGGAATATATAAGAATAACAAAAAATCAACATTATAATTATTTTTATCATAACTAGAGGTAACTCAAGAAATTTTTTTCAGTGATTAATGTCTCTTCGTTTAGCAATGACAAGAAAAATAGGTTGAATCGGTTTTGCACCACGTTCAATACTTAGTAATATTTAATATATTATTTATTTTTAATATTTCGTCCACAGCTCATACATATATGTATATTAATACTAGGATTCACCGCACTACGTGCTACGCTATGAAGTCGTTCGCTATGTCGCCGAAGTCAAACTCGCCGTCCTTCGGTCGCTCTCGTCCTTCATCTTGCTCTGCACTTTCTCCCTCTCTCTCTCACATACACACATACACACACGCTTTTCCCGAAGGAAACACACGCATCCTTCGCCAGATTTCTAAAACTAAAACATTCGTCCGACGCATCGTCCCAGACACTTCAGGCACGCGGTTCCACACCGCACTCACACATTCCTACACACAACGCATGTACGCTCGGCCACCCTACAATATTTTTCTCATTACGAGTACTTTGTACTATACAAACCTGCGGCATTCAACGTGTTGAAGAGAAATTTTTATAATCAACCCTTTGCCTTATAATAACGTGTCAGACTCGCGATGAAGGTTTTAAAGAAAACTTAATCAATATAAATATTAGTCTATTATTATGAATGCAAATGAAATATTCTCCTTTTGTTATCAATTATTATAACTAAAGGCAAACATAGGCATAGAATACACCTAAAATTTGCCTCTTTTTTCAATAAATTATTAATGACAAAGTAGTTGCGTCGATCATGGTTGAAAAGTAAATCGTAGGGCGAGGGGTCAACGCACATCCTCGTATCAGTTTCTCCTAGATTCTACTCCGCAGAACTGGCGGATTTCTCTAATAAGCGGCTCATTTATCGGCGATGTCCTGCCTCGCAGACACCCGTCTACGTTTTCTGGAGACGGGACAGATCCGAACGGAGCACGGCGGCGAAGATTAAGATTCGAGTTTGCGGAGATGGTTCTGCTTGTCCTCGTAATTTCATTTCCGGGGATGAATGCGACGGCGGTTGAATCCTGTCCGCGTCTTGATCGCGTCTGGTTCCTCGGTTACCTCGGTTCATTCACCTTTTCTTCGGGCCGATGAATGCTTCCGTGGCTCCAGCTGCGGATTCAGTTTATTTCAGCGACAATCTATTCCCATCTGTACCGGAAGCCCGAAAAGTATCGCTTTACTTTCTCCCTTGGAAACAGACCTTCCCTTAGAAACGCCGCTAGTATAGAGTTCCGACACGTTTATCTGTTCTCGAATGCGACATCAACGAGACGCTGCGTTCATCTCAATTACAAACCCTCGTCCCTCCGCGAGATGACAGAAATACGTTACACGTATATATTTGTATATTTCATTTTCGTCTTGCAGCCAAGAAAGCTGACACAGTTGTACAAACTTTGCATCGTATGCTTATATTCCTACCCATTTAATTTCTACATTTAATTCCCTCTTCAGCTCAACTGTCCTATATCCGAAGAAACTGTCCGAAATATACACTGAAATCCTCTATTATTGCAATTACTTATCACCGCGCGTAATCGATACTCGATTTCCTCAACACGGTTATCTAAAAGTTCACTCGAATCGAATGAAAATAACTAATCGATGATAGAACATCCGCTCCCAAATAGTCGCGTTTCGACCCGCAGAACTGTAGTATCGTAGCTTAAGGCAGTGGGACAGCGAGTATTCGAGTATAACAGGAAAAGGGCCATAAAAGAGAAAGGGACTGATGGACACCAGGCCCATGGATTGGCGAGTTTTCCCGAGCGATGCGTAAGCGAGGATGATGAGTGCGTGGTGGTGAGAGTAGAATGTCGTTGAGAGTTTGTTGAAAGTGCGAGTGAGAAGAATGCTTGTGGGGGAGAGAATGATCTTCAAGTGCGGATGACGAGAGATTTTGGAGAGAGTTGCGTTGGCTTTGGAAGGGAAAAGACCTGTACACTGCGAGCTATATCGTTTCTATTTATTTGTATCTTGTTCGATTAACCACTTGCGCTGGCAACGAATTGAGAAACTCGACACGATCTCGCGCAAAAAATTTTGCCTTCGTGTATTATATATAGATACGTACACAAATATCGTTTGCCAATAATTTTGTACGAAGTAATAGATTTCAGAACAATCTGGAATATGTAATCCAATAAAATTACCAACGTGTACAATATGTCGTTGGTAATTTTCGGACAAAAACATCATGACGTGCGTAACACGTCTATCCAGCGCAAGTGGTTAACTATTCCCATGTTTTTTTTTTAAATAAAACATAATTATTTCCATTAATACCTGTTCAGCACTCGGACTGTTCACCAATGGCACCCGGCTCGTGGGACCAAATTTTAAATAATCGGACTGTCACGAATACTTTGAATATATGCTGAATTTTACTAATCGAAGGACCATCCAATGTTGGAACTAAAGACTTCTAATGACTAACTGACTAACTGACTGACTGAACTTCCTAATGGAGGTTTTCTGAATTGTTTCTGAACTTGTCCCTGATTGAACTTGGTTGCTAATTGAACATGTTCCTGATTCTAATTCTGACTGAGTCCCCCAAGGGCCTTTTTGGTTCTTGTCTCTCCGAGTGCCCTTCTAATTCTGTTGTGACGTGTCAGGGTTTTTCTTTAATTTTCCTGGGCCCACTCCCTCCCTCTCGATGTACAAAGAAGGTGGGGCCTCAGGAGCGGTTTTTTTATCCCTTCCTATGATGGCCACTCCTGTATTATCCCCTTCCAGTACGCCCGTAGCGCGATATTTCCTTGGAACGCGGGTGACGAAGTTAGTCGCCACCCTGGACGTATGTTTGGTAACGTTGGGGAAATTCGGTTAGATCAAGATCCTTGAGGTCACTCATTTCTGAAATTTCAAAGGACCCTCTGGAACACGACTTCACGACACCTGGGCTGAAGTGAAAAAATAAACAATGGTTGATTTCTAAGATGAATCCTTATGTGCCGCATATTGGCTGCAGGCCAGGCTGCTAAACTACCGAACGGAAAACTACCGGTTACGAACGTCTCTACGAATATGTTACCGTATCGTAAAATTGTCCCCTTGTTGTCCTCACAATATCACGGAACTTCGAAGGAATCTACTCCTCGAGACTCTGAAACAGTAACTCGTTTGAATAACGCGAGAACGTCGAGCGTACGTACGACTAAAAATTCCGAGGATGTGTAAACGGAAGAGATTGCGGAGGATTCGGGGACGTTAAATTACTGTTTCGGACCCGTATGGATCGTAATTCCGAGCCGGCGCCGCGCGGGACCGCCTTTGAACAGATTCTCCGCGCTGACCCCGGGGACAGGCCGAGAGGACGTTACGTCTCTATCATTGAAATTGGAATGGCCCGTGCCCGACGGAAATTACAGGCCGACGGAACTCGGTAGGTAGCAGGTACTTTGTAACGGGACGAAAATCTAACGACGCGCCTCGCCGCAAACCACGCTCCGTGCCGGCGTGGAACGTAACGCGCGCCGGATTCCTTGGATCCTCGCTGGCCGTTCCGTCTCGGAAATTTCATAATCGGTTGAGAAACGACTCGCGTTTTCCGACGAGCCGAACGAACTTCGACGAAACGCGGGACAAGGGAGAGAAACGGAGGCCAGGCGAGAACTTTCAGCAATTTCACGCTCGCCTCGCGCCGCACACTTGGCGATTTCGCGACGCGCCGTGCCACCTTCCGCGCGAACTTTCCCTTGTAAATTTTCCACGAGAATCGCCCGCATTTTTCCGCGCCGCACCCGTGAACGAGTTTTCTACGAGGCGCAGCGTTTTACGAGCAACGTGTGTCGCCGCTCCGCTGTTCGAAGCGTTCCGAGAATCCGAAATTATTTAAACCGAGAAGAGGCTTGCTCCTCGTCCCCGTCGATTTTCACCTGCCCCTCTCGTCTCCTTATTCATTTCGTTGATTTCGTTCGCGTTCTACCGTCGAGTGGTCTTCGGGTATTTATTGCGAGCGTTAAATACGTTGCGACGCGTTGCATCGATAGCGTGATGGATCACATTTCTTCGAAACTCTCTATTTTATAACTGTTAGAACTCGATGGAGATGCTTCGGTGAAACATTGTGGGATATTTACGAATGCTGCGAAGTGGATTTGACGTGGAAAAACTATAAAGTCTGACATTTAATGTTGACCTTCGTATAATACTTTGATACCTGAAATATTGGAGTAAAATAGCTCTGTTCCTCAATGCACTTGTGATTTCCCTTCGACTTAGTTTCAAGGAATATCGTCTTCGCCTCGTCAGAAAATGTTAAAAATTTCTAGTGAGAAACTTCCTAGTTCAAAGGGTTAAGATCTCATGTATTCGAAATTCTTTCGATGATTACAAGAAACTATAGTTACTTTCATTGCTGAGTAGTTCCAGTATCGAGGGATTGAATCGTAGACATGTTCAAGACGAAAAGATTCAGAAGATTTCCCTTTCGATCGTCGATACTGAATTTTCTCCGCGTGCGATTCAACTGAAAACAACAATGCGTGCCTTCGGGGACTCGAACCGCATGTTGCAGTTTATTATCGTGTTCCAGTCGTTAAGCGGACGCGCGCTCGTTTGCCGGGAACAGCTCGCTGCCGCGCGGCCGGCGTGTATTGATGTAAACGAGAAAGGGAATTAAAAACGAGAATAATCCCGGCAAAGTGGCCTCATTTACGCACGCATGGGTTCACCCCGGGCCAACATTTTTACCGCGACCCACTCCACTCGGTTTTTTTCCTACGCGAGCCGGCGTGAAATCGGTGAAGTTTTTTTCATCAGCCGAACCAGTTTCCCTGCGATCTCCTTCCTCGCCCGTGATCGCGATTGCGTTCTCGAGATCCCCGGCCCGGATCCGTGGAAAAATTTCGTTCCCGGGAATACTCGTCTAAACGCAATGATTAACACGCGCGCGTTACCTAACGAACCGTCGACCTGTGCCTTTCCTCGGTTCGTCGGCTCGGCGATTAACACCTCGGGAACCGGTGCTCCCCTCGAACACGGATATCTCAGTCGTTGATACTTCAAATCAGTATCTTCCGTTCGAGCTGACGGTCGAGTGTTCCGGTCGAAACATGCTGGATATTCGAATGCTTCTGTATGTCTCGCGGTTGAACGTTAATTTCATTCTCCCGAATTTACTCGCGTTAATGGAAAGTTCCGATTCGTTCCACGGCGGAGGGAATAAATTTGTGCTTGTCAAATTAAGAATGGCGTTAATTTATCGGAGGATGTGAACTGAAATATCCAGCGGCCTCCTCTCGTTTCAATAATGTTGGCTTTGAATATTTGGGAAACATATTTACTCGCACGATAAAATTCCGCTGCTAATCTGCACGCGATCCCGAACTTTTTGCTGGTTCGCGTTAAACGTCGAATAAATTCCGTGGTGCCCGTGCGCGCGAGTGTTCGCGTGTACGTGCTCGCGGGTAAAAAGTTATCCGGTGAAGTGCTCGGAGAGGATAGAGGGGAAGTTGACGCGTTAAGAGTTCGTAAGGAGAATGAAGAAATACCGGCGTTTCAACTTCGCCCGATGAATTTTCATCCCCTCGGGTCGAAGAAGCTTCAATTTCGTTCGGCGCTCGTTCATTTGTAATGCTAATTAAGGCTGCTCCCGTGCTGCCCGCGATGTATCGCGGCCGCGTTAAAGACCGGACCCCAGAGATTTCCATTCTCCCATCGAGCTCGCGTTTTCTATTTTCCCCGGTGCTCGTGCGTGTAAACTTTTACGCGTTGCTCCGTCGAATCCGTTTTACGAGGACGCCGGCCTGCGGTTTTTACCGTTCCCGCCGTTTACCAGTCGAAGCGAACTTCTTTCTTCCCGTCTGTTTCTCTCTGTTTTTACAGGCTCCTCGCGTTCAATCTCGTGCTGATACTCTGCCAGGCTTATTCGAAGTCCTCGAATTCGGAGCTCGCCGAGATCCTTCGCCGACCGATCAGGGCTCTGACGTTTCCGGAGGAGAGCACCAGTGGCGTAAGTACGAACGCGAGTTCCCTTTCGTCCTGAAACTTTTACTATTACGAGTAAACCGACTCCAGCGCGATCGGTCGATCTTAATTCATCTTTCTGACGCAATTGCTGTTGATTATTTTTCTCGTAACTAGAACTCCGTAACATGTATGTTATTACTGTTCCTTTTAATCTAAAAAAAAAATGAATCTTCGCGTTTCTAACTAAAATCTCGCAGTGTATATCACTATTATTAGGTTGTGCCAAAAGTACCACTATTACCGTTCCTCTTTATGTAAAAAAAAATGAATCTTTCCGTTTCTAACTAAAATCTCGTAGTATATGTCATTACTATTAGCTTGTCCCAAAAGTACCTTTGTTTTATTGATATAATCAATGCACATTTTATATCTTATTACGTAACTCCGATCTATTCTACCTTCTCATCATACTGATCCCATCTTCTCTCCTTTCCTCAAAAGCCTCGCAGTGTCATCTTTCCATTTCTGCCAAACGAAATATTACAACTAGACCACGAAATAAACTTATAGGACAGCCTAATTTTATTTCTATTCGCCTGAAGAGCATAGGCATAATTGATTTAAGCAACGACAACAAGGAACGCGAAATAAAATCAGACACAGTCGAAACGGTTGGCCCGTCCGACCATTGCTCTACTATTTCCACTTCCGGCGAAATTCCAAGTCGCTCCTGGGACTAGGCGAACCACGAGAAAATGTTATTCTACGCTTCCGAATTACTTTTCCGCGTAGAACAACCTCTGGTATGCGAAAAGCGTTTAGCGAAGCTTCGGTAGCCGGGCTCAAGTAGCAAGGTTTAACCCTAATCGGGCCATGATGTGACTATTAGTCACGTTTGAACTTTTTATTTTAACTTTTTTATTATATCATTTTTTTGGGTTTTTAAAGTTTTGGCCCTGTTACATTGTCATAACGCACGAAAGGATTTCCGTGTAAACGGTTAGGTTCTTGTCTCTATCGGAGAATGACACACGAATCGTTGGTATAAAAGTAATGCTTTAATATAATTACACCGATTTCGAAGTTTCAACGTTTGTGAAAATAGCGGGTTTGCGGAGTTAGGTCTTGTGGTTCGTAGCATTCTCCTGATTCTCGTAGCGTCATGTTTTATGTGAACTTGGGTTTTCTGGAATTGGTCAGTTGCATTTTCGTGTGAAGGAAAGTTGTGTTTCGTTATTGGTCGAGAGTGCGTCTATTTCGCGTCTTAAAGTGGGAAATTGTCAAAAGTCTAGGTTCGCTTCGTCGTCATCGTAAATTATAATTATTCATTTGGTCTTTACGGTTACGGATTTTTCACGGTGACGGCTTGTGGCTGCGTCACACGTGGCATCAAAGTATTTTATGATGACCATCATAAAAATTAGCAAGATTTCGGAGTGCTCGTGTACCTGGTATGTGATTACAAGATTATCTTAGGTCGGTTCGCTGATTGGTTTATGATTCGAGAAAAGTATGTCGAATGTAACGGGCCCTACAAAGAAAAACACTGACATTTTAATCATTCCTTTATTCTCATAAGTAACTGAGAGTCACATCGTGGTATGATTCGTCATTGTTGAGAGTGAGCATTGAATATATTTTGAATGGTGAGAAAGGTGCATCCGTTGGTGCTGTCCTCTCCCTCGCAGGAGGCAGTTGTTTTCCTGAGGACAACCATTTTTATTGCGCTTGCTGAGCGTCTTTTTTTCGTGTCGTTCGGCAGTTCACAGTAAACGCTCAAGCAACGAACAGCCTTATAACAATATGTCAGACTCTCGGTGAAGATTTTCAACATGATTTAACCAATATGAATATTACTCAACTCATTCGAATTCAAAGTAAATTTTACTTTTCTAACGTAACATAGAATATACCGACAGTTTTCTCTTTTTCTAATAAATTATTAATGAAAAAGTAACCGTATCGATCAGAGTTGAGAAAGAAATCATAGGGCAGGAGGTTAAAATACATACTAATAAATGTATACTTAGTTTCAAACCCTGTTGTGTTTATTTCAGCAAATAAATATTCAACAGTTCTAAAAAATACGTGGTACGATTAGGGTTAAAAGCGATCGCGCGCTCGTTCGTTTCAGCTGTTCTTCGCGTTGGCGGTGCCGCTGGAGGATCCATACAAATCGATTTCTCTGGCGAACTTCTTCGAGGCCACTTACACGCTGCCGACGAACGCTAGCGACGAGCTTCCCTGGACGGAAATTGAACGGGCGAGGAGGAAAAGGAGGAGCCTGGACCGGGCCACCGTTTATCAGGCTGTGGCGAACAAGTTTATCAGGTGAATTTGCGAGTCGCCTTCTCAAGCCTCTTTCCGGGTTAGCATTCTCCTTAGACGACGTTCGAGACCGCGGTCTGCCGGCGTTCGCGCGGAACGAGCGGACCAGCGAAACTGTTACGCGTACAGAAACGTATAGACACACGTACACCGGCTGACCTAGAAGTCGCAGTGGGTCAGAGACGGTCTTATTTTATTTTTCGCTTTGCCTCCCCGCTTTCTGCGCAGCTACGGTTATCAGGGTCACGAGTGTCTGCTGAGGGCAATTTGCGAAACTTCGGAGCATTCCCTGAGACATAACGGGCTCATCGGTGACATTCTGCACGTGATCTTCACGTAAGTTCCTTTTGCGTTTCTTAATACGCTACATAGACTACGTTACTCGTCGTTACTCTTAACGAGCGCAATGCGCGGTATAATTGCTAAACGATTCGTGCACCTGCGAGATTTCGTTTAGGACTAAATCCTTCTATCGAAAGATGAAGTATTCTGATCGCATGCTCGCGGAATACTGACGCGATTCTTATTAACCGTGAACTCTAGTATATCTAGTATATTGGGTCCTTGGAATAAGACCCAATGGTCTTAGCTTCTTCCTCTAACCGACACGACCACAGTGTCTCCAGCGACCAGTTCTCGAAAAGTAACCCCCGCGTTCTCATCACAACTGCGGGTGTACGACCGAAGCGAGAGGCATTGTTCGCGGTAAGAGTAAACGCGGGAAAAGGACTCGGCTGGAAATTTGGCCGGCGCGACCTCCTTTCGCGCGGCGCGCACCACTGCCGTGGAAGAAGTTCCAGCCGGAGACCTTTTTTCGGCCGGTCGAAGGCGGCGCAAATTGGAGTAGATACACAGGGGCCGTGTGGAAAAGCAAATTTGGTTTAGCTTTCCTCGCTCCTCCCTCGGCGTGTCGCCGGTCTCCGTTCGCGCGCACGCGCGCCGCGCCGAGCGTGGGTGGATAAACTCTCGAGCCAGGGACGTATGAATAAAAAAAGAGGACCCGCGGGCGGCCCGTGACGGCGCATTGTCGTCGTCCTCCGCGTCGACGACGTCCTATATCCTCCTCGTCGGGGAATTTCCGAGCGGTTTCTCAGCTACGAGGTAGAAAATGGACCGGCCTGCCTGCCAGGGAACGCGTATCACCGCCGGAACCGTCGAGAACCTTCTTTCCCCGTGTTTTTGGGTCGCCCGCGCGTCCCGCGATAAGTAATTTCGAGGTCCCGCAGGATTCCACATCCGTTCCTCCTGGGAAGTCTTTCGTCGGACGTATTCAACGTTTCCTAATGGGACACAGGCGTAAAGTACGGGACAACGATTCTGTACAGTACTCCACGGAGCGTCGATGACGGAGACAGCTCCAATGAACTCGCTCTCGGAAGCATCGAGCGACTACAAGTTACAACATTGTACAGGTTGCGGATATAGGTATCGGAGATTCAATTGACAAAAGCAGATCACGGAGGCTGCAGCGAACGCTTGCCACATAGGCTTCGAGACAACTTTTTCTTCGTAGAGTCTACCCTCGTCGGATAAGCGGAAAGTTTCGACGTCCGTGGTTTACGCACGTCAAACACGCGGCTCCCTTTGTTCACCGGCGAAGGCAAAGAAGCGTTGTTTGACTTCGGCCGATTTTCAGACTTCCGGAAGCACTCCCTCGAATCGATCACCCGACGCGATGGGCCGGGATCTCTATTCAGTTTTTCACTTACACGGCTGCGGCGCGCGAGCCATCGCGATACAGACGCTACGCGTTAAATTATTATTGCGAGCCTTAGAAAGAACCTTAGTTCTCAAAGTTTCCTCGACGGGAAAGGAACCCGCGGTGATTCATGAAAGGAAAACCGCGCTTCAACCGAGTGCGCCGGGAAAAGAGAACGAGGAGCGCGCAGCGAGATGGAAAGAGTGGAAGGGAAACGGTGTGTGTGTTTGGGTGTCTGTGTGTTTGTGTAAGAGAGAAAGAGAAAGGCAGAGGAAGATAGACAGAAGGAGAACGATAAGGTGGACGAAATGGGTTTTGCGAGGAAAATAAAAATTGCAAATGAGGTTTGTTTTGCCGTTGAAGTTATTATCGCGCGGAGACGAGCGCAGGACGCGTTGTCCTTCCGGGGATCTCTTCCGGCCAGTCTCACGGGTAATTTGAGGGAATAGAACTGGCTAAGAGGATATGAAAAAATCATTGGGACAGCTTATTTGCCCTTTCACCGCACACGCGGCGAGTTATCGCGGCCCCGGAACCCTCGTCGCAGCTCCGAGTGGTTGGCGTTTTATGCATTTTCATATAGGACACCCGAATACATACCCGGCATCCACCCCGGCGGAAAGATCCACGAAGTTTATCGCGATTTTTATCCCATCCGAGCGGGTTGATAAGTTCTTCGGACAGAGTAAACGAAATCTCTGTTTAATTCCGGATCCCGTGAATTACTTGATGAAATTTCAAATTTGCTGAAACATACGGCCGGTAAATGAAGTCGGCGAATAAACGGACGCGAGGGCCGCGCGGACGCACTCGCGGAGTAATTATTGCGGCCATCCTAAAGGATCGGCGTTTCTCTAGAGAAAAGAGGGATTCTCAAAATTGTTCTGGCAAACATTTGTTCTCGCGGATAGCCGTTCGTTCCCCTTTTGGAACCGGGTCCAGAGGAGGAACGAATTTTGCGACTAACGGAG